AAACCGCCCAGGAGCTTCTGCTGGTCCGCCAGGGACCGCACCGGGGACCTCATGTTGTGCTGGCACTTGGTCCGCAAGCGCAAACGATTTCCCTCAGAACAGCTTCCAAAGGTTTTACGAGCCCTGCCCTCAGTATCGGATTGCACAATTAAAAAACATCATGGGGGTCTTAAGATGTTCACTCTTGGAGAAATTTACAAGTTGAATTTATGGCAGTGCTTTTGGGGTTTGCTAAATTCAGTCCCGTAATTGGGGAAGCCACTTCATTGCTTTTTCAGTTAATGGATATGAACCTGTCAGAGGATGATCATAGAGCTGGAAGAGACCTCAGGAGGTCATCAAGTCCAGCCCCGTGCCCAAAGCAGGACCAATCCCAACTAAATCAACCCAAAGCAGGAGGTGCTGGACTAAGTAGCTAAATTAAAAAGCAACATATTACAAAGCATCATACATCCAAGAGCTGAGAACAAATTTACCTGGATGTAGCTGAACTATTACTAAAACCAATAAAATTGTATCCCTTTTTAAGAGGTGCTATGGTGATCCTGTGAGTTGCAGATCAGTGAGCCTTATTTCAGAATTTGGTTAAGAGGCTGAAACTATAATTAAAAAACATGGAACAATTTCCATACAGAAAAATAATGAGAATCAGTTACATCTTTGAAAACCTTTTGCCAAAATTCATGAAGCGAGAGGGAAAGTGCTGTCATGGATTGAACACTAGCTAAGAGACCAAGGAGAGGAGCAATAAATGACCAGTTTACCATATGGCATGTCTTGAGCAAAGAGTGCCCTGTGGGTCTTTATACTGAGAGTGGTAGGTGCTTTCTTTTTGTTAATGATCTGAAAATAGAAATGACCAGTGAAGTGGCAAATTTTATAGATGAGGCAAAATCAGAGAAGTCTTTGAGGGACTTCATAGGGATCTAACTAAGGTAAGTGAATGGGTAACGCTGAGTGATCTGTAGTATGGTAACAAGACAAAGTTAGTGATAGGCAAGGTTATGCATCTTGTAAGAACAATAAATCAGGTTTCAAATGAACTGCGGTTAGCCAGGAAAAAGACGTGCACCTTGTTTTGGACAGCGAAGCATAGCTTTGTACGCCATGTCTCACTGGGCAGAGCGTTCTGATGCATGGGACGGCATAGCAAATAGGACACTGAACATAGTGGTGCCCCCTCAGCAGCAGCAGCACCGTGTCTGTGCTAGGCACCCTGTCGCTAAAGAGTATAGGAGCAACAGAGGGAGTTCAGAGACGGGAGGCAAGACTGGCCCATAGAGAGTGCGCTATTTGAAGAGAATTCAAGTACTAGGACTGTTTAGTTTTGGAGATAAATGATGGGGGGAGGGGCAAACATGATAAACGTATTCCAAGCAACAGATGGGTGTGAGAAGGTGAATTAGGGATGTTTGATCATAAAAGGCATTATATTTAAAACTGAAGAGACTTTTTTAAATTGTTGGTATTTATGAATATTAATATTACAGGGCATCATCAGACGTTAACCAAATATTACTTTATTAAGTCTGAAGGCCAAATGGTATCTACACAATTGTTTTAAATATATTAGAAAAGCCTAAATAATAAGTAGTTTGTGACATCCAATACAGCAACACATATCCATACATTTAGGATGGATTAACTCAGAGACAGGCTAGATTAGAGGATAGTCCTCTTAACCTGGTTTTCCTCAGCATTATTGGATCAGATCTGGTAAAGAACCTTCGGATTCATAGCTCTCTCTCTATCGGGGTGGGGACCCTTTTTTGGGTCAAGGGCCACTTACCCACAAAAAACAAGTGTGTGGTCGGAGGGTGGGGAGGGGCGGGGGGGCTGCTGGGAAGCAGGCTTGAAGTGTGGGGGCTGGTAGGAGAGTGGGTGCAGGAGAAGAGTCAGGGTGGGAGGGCTAGATGGGAGGTAGGGTGCAGGAACGAAGTACGCATGGGAGGTCTGGGCAGAAGGAGAGTGCAGGGGCTACTTCCTCCCCCCACCAGGCACAACCCATGGGTTGGATCCGGGCTTGACTTGCTTGACTCCTGTCCACGAGGCTTGGGGCTCTCCCCTGCAGTGGGAAGTTGATGCTGGTGCTCCAGCCCTGCTGAGAGGGAGAAGACAGCTGCAGGTGGCTCCCCAATGTTGGGAGAAGCCCCAAGCCTTGGGGGGCAGATCCGGCCTCTGAGCCTTAGGTTCCCCACCTCTGCTTCATAGCCTTCAGCTAATTTGCTGAAGCAGTTTAACATTGATGCATTCCTTCCTCCATGATTTTCCTTTCTTGTTTCCTCCTTCCCTCCTTGCTTACCAACAGAACAGTGGGGAGGTTTATGCTTGTTTCTTCTAAGGCATTTTTGTCATCATATTGCAGTTTTTATTCTATTAACTGTTTTTGAACTCTCTCTCTCTCTCTCTCTCTCTATATATATATAAATATAAAACATTCTAGTCTTGTAGCTTATTATTTTCAGTCTGTAGGGTTTTTTTCTGAGTAGCTTGTTTTCTTACTAGCAAATATATAATTTTCTTTACTTTAATTCTTTAATTTCATAACTTTGTTTACAAATATTACAGAGTTTCTTGCCCTTCCCTGTCAAGCAGCTGGTCACATTGGAGCCAGGGGGTTGGGCTCACTGGGCCTGTATCTGTTCAGATCAGCAGCTTGTGCTCCTCTGAATTGCTTCCCTTTCCTTAAACTGAGTTTCTGAACTGGGAACAGATGGAGGCTTTATCTAGCAGGTGGGACAGATGGAGGAAAAGGAGCTGCATGACTGTCTGTCCTGGTATCTCTCGATTTGCCTGAAACCTTGCCTAATGGCCTGACTACATTAAATTGTTTCTTAGGCCAGACGTTCAAAGCAACATCCCAGGAAGCTACGAAGTTGAGTCTGGCATTCTCAAGGCCTCCGTTGCCTTCTTCAGAGGTGGGTTACATGCCCTGCATCAAGGAAGATCTCAAGGTTTCTCCCATGTAGCGGTCCCTTTGTGTGGCTCGTTCCCCTGAACTGGAGCAAAGTTTGGGTTAGAAGTAAAACAAATGGTTCTTCTCACTGATGTTTGTGGGATGTAATCCCACCCTTTCACTCTTCTTCAGGATGGCATGTGACCTCCCAGCCTGGGTGCATAGGGAGTTGTCAGAGCTGTTCATTGGCCGTTGAAGGTTTCAACCCAGGTTTTTATGGGAAAAGAGCCACGTAGTTCAGGGCAGTAGTATGAGTTCCTCCCTGCCAACCTGATACCACCAAAATGAGAGAGTCTTGGGGTGGGGAGAAGGCTCTCTGATGCCCAGAGTATGGGCAAAACAACGAGAATTTTTAAGGTGCCACAAGACTCAACAGATTTACTTGGGCATAAAACTGTGGGTAAAAACCATTTTGTCGGATGCAGCACTAGAGTATGGTGTGGCATCAGGCAGCTGAGCTCCAGACTGGGGCTTACTCTGTTATTACATTTCAAACAATTCTAAGTGTGTTGGACTATGGTCCTTCACCTTCTCCCATTGTTGACAGCAGCCTTTTTGACTCTCCTGCATCCACTAGCAGAATCTCCACCTGAGAGCAACAGAGTATAAGACAGTGATCTGCCTTTAGCTGGAGCTGGGGGATGTTAATAGGTTTGCAGTTGCACCTCTCTCATTCCTGATCCTTTTTGTTCACTGTTTTCAGGACTGTCAGAAACTGAGTGAAGGAATCCAGAATGCTGTCTTAGCAGCTGCCACTGCATATTACTGGCTTCCCAAGGACCAAGGTGAGGCAGTGAGAGCAAGTTTGTGCCAATTCTTCTTCCCTTCAGAAAGGAAATTTGACATTCCTTAGGGCCAAGTTTCAATAGGTAGAGCCAGAGGCAAGGACACTCCCATTCTCAGCTCTCTTACAGACTTGCAGTGTGGTTTTGAGTAAGTCAGTCTTGTGTCTGTCTCTCTCTCTCTCTCCATCTATAAACGGGGCTAAGGTAGGGAGCAGTGAATCTTAATTCACGTTTATCAAGTGTGTTGAGATCCTCGTGTGAAGGTGCTACAGGAGAGTGAGGATAGGTGAACAAAAGATTCATTTCGGAGGCACATCTGCTCAGGGTAGGCACGCTTTGTACAGAAGGCACAGATGTGTGGGGTTAGGGAGTTGAGAGGGGAAGAGCAGATGCCTGTTGGACTTTGTCTGTGTTTGAAATGGGGGAGGGGGACTGTGTTTCACTGTGATAGTATCAGGCTACATCATTCCTTGCTCAATCACATCTAGGTATTACTCTGCGGAAGATGGTGCGAGATGCCACTGCCAGGGTAGTGGAAGGAATGATTCAACTTACGGACGTGATTCTCAGTACTCAGCTGTCGAGGTAATACTGATCCATCAGGGCTCCCATGAAATGCCACAAGGTTAAATAAGCTGGGGAAAAAACCGAAAGCCCCATACACATGCTCTCATCCCCAACCAGTAACCGACTGGGCACCGAGAGCTGAATGTAGTTCTGCACGGGCAGGAAGGGGAGGCCTGGGAGAGGTCGGAGTGTTGTGAAGATGGTGGGAAGAATGTTTGTGTTGCTGTGTAACTTGTGCAATCTACATATCCCCCTGTCAGTGTTTACAGTTCCCAGCACCCTGAGGGACTCTCTCTTCTTTTTCAGTTTGTCTCAGGAGCAGCTAATATCCACTGGCAGCGTATGGGAGGCATGTGAACAGATTTCCCACCTGCCTCGAGGTGAGTGACATAGATACAAGGGCAGCAGAGTCCTGCACTCTCAACCGGAGTTGGGGATGTGGGCTTGACAGCACTTACCCCTCCTGACAGGGAGTGCCGCAGCTACTCTCTTGGAACGTGGCTCCTGCAGCAGAAATGGTACCCTTCCATGCTGAGGAGCCAGGTGGGGTTACCAGTGTGGTGACCTGGCAGTTCTCTGAAGGGGACTGATGCAGCCCGGGGGAGCCTATAGGAGTGTGGTGGGTAAGATCTGTGAGGGCTGTACAGTCTCCTTTTGTGCTTCTCTCTCTGACCTCTGTGTGCAGATAACCAGGCAGCAGTCTTGTCAGCCATGACCATCTATCTGGGTGTGGTCAGGGATGCACTGGAAGAGATGGAGCAGGTGAGGAGGTCCCTTTATTTTGGCTGGGGATGGAACCCATTGCTAGGGAATTTCCTGCAGTGACATAATGAAACCGAGACGTGGATTCCTACTATGGGAGTGTTGCTATTTTTACAACTGATAGTCATTGCAATTGATTTCTACTAGCATTCACTATATTAGGCATCCAGTCATCACCAACCTTGGTGAAAACCAAAACAAGGAAGTCGTTAAGCACCTCTGTCATTTCCATATTTATTGTTAAGCACCTCTGTCATTTCCATATTTATTCCCTCTTGATTGAGCAATGGGCCTACCCTGACCTTGGTCTTCCTCTTCTAATATTTTTGTAGACTATTTTCTTATTACCCTTTATGTCCCTAGCTTGATTGAACTCATTTTGTGTCTTCGTCTTTCTAATTTTGCCCCCTACATACTTTCATTATTTGCTTACATTCATTCTTTATGCTTTGACCTAATTTTCACTTTTTATCTAAAAATAAAAAGGAGTTGTAAAATCTTCAGATTAAGCCAAGGCGGTCTCTTGCCATACTTTCTGCCTTTCCTGTGTTTGCTTGCTCTTGGGCCCTTAATGATGTCCCTTTAAAAAAATTGCCAACTGTCTTGAATTGTTTTTCCTTTCAGACTTGTTTCCCATGGGACCTTACCCACCAGCTCTCTGAGGTTACTAAAATCTGCTGAAATCTACTGTCTCCATTTTGCTGTTCTCCCTTCTACCATTCTCTGATTTCATGGTCACTTTCACCTAAGCTCCCTTCCACTTTCAAATTCTCAATCTGTTCTTCCCTATTTGTTAAAATCACATGTAGAACAGCTTCCCCCAGGAGCTTTCTGAACCTTCTGAAATCAAAAATTTCTCCAATGCAGTCCAAGAACTTGTTGGATAATCTGTGCCCTGCTGTTAGTTTCCCAAGAGATGTCTGGATAGTTGAAGTCCCCCATCACCGCCAAATTGTGCACAGTTTAACAAAAGCCTCATCTACCTCTTTGCCTGGGTAGGTGGTCTGTAGTGGACTCCTATCATGACATCACCCTTGGGTTTTTTTTACCCCTTTTAAGCTAAACCAGAGACTGTCAACTAGAGTGTGTCCTACATTCATCTCCATCTCAGTCCCAGTGTATACACTGTTGATATATAAGGCAACACCGCCTCCCTTTCTCCTTTCCTATCCTTCTATGCCAATGTTCCAATCATGTTATCCCACCAAGTCTCTTTGATCCCAACTACGTCCTAATGGTATTTATTTACTAGCACTTAAGGTCTTTCTGTGTATACCCCGTACTTCCTGCATTTCTATACAGACAACTAAGTTATTGATTTGATTTTGTCCCTCCTTTACCTCTGTTATAGCCCATGCTCCCTCCCGTTTCTGACCCATCTCCCAGTCTCCATGTGGGCTTGTTGAGTGCATGGACCTTGTTGAGTGTTGAAACCTCAATCTAGTTCCACTATCTAGTATGTGACTTGTGCGATGCCTGGGCCTTGTGTTGTCTTAGCACAGCTTAGTTTGCTGGTGTGGGGTTGGAGAAGGGGTGCCTGCGAGGCACTTGCTCATCAGTGCTTTGGATGTGCCTGAGGAATTGATTTTTTTAAGCCAGTTTCCTAAGCAGAAAAGATCTCGTGTCAACTCCATCTGCCCTGAAGACATTCTAGGGCAACATGGCAAAGTATGTAAGCTGGCTTCAGGTACTGTTTGCCTCATGGGCGCTGTGGGAATAGGTGGTGGGCTCTTGATTTCCAAACCTGTGTTTAAGGCTCAGGGGGAAGATCAGGACCCCTTTGGTGACATCCTGGAGGATGAGGAACTGGGCTCTCGGGGCAACAGGGATACTTATTGGTCTGAGGCTGACCGGAAGCTACTTGGCCCCTGCATGGGGCTCATGAAGGCCTCCAAAGCCTGCCTGAAGAAGCTCTTGGGTGCAGTGAAGGTTCATGGCAAAGCAGACACCTCGGAACAGGTGGCTCAGCTAGATGATCTTGCAGACATTACCAATGAGATCAGCCCCAGGTGAGTCTGTCCCTTGCCCCCTCCATGCTGTCTGTGCTCCTGTGGAACTGCATTTGCAGGGGTTTTCCCCCCGCACTCATGATAGGGGTAGGGCCCTTGTGCGAGTGGTGCTGTGGGAGAGCCTGTAGGAGAGGGGCATTGACAGGCCCAGGGTAGCTGTGATGGGGGATTTGCAGTCACCGAGGAGTGGGACAGATGTGCGACTATACCTGTTAGATACAGCTGCTGCTGGTTTCCTGCTGCGTTCGTATATCCTGACTCAGTCGCACAGTTAACATGATCGCCTTTGCCTGTCCACTGGCTGGGCTGACTGCTAGGCTGCCTTGCTCATACAGAAACCTCTGTGTTCTTCCTTAGCATTGATGAGCTGGCGCTGAGCATGTATCCGCCCGTGACCCAGCTGGCTGTGCGACTCAACGTAAGTATGTGCCACTCTCCAGCTCTCAAGCAGGGGGCGTCAGCCTGGCTCCTGCTGGCAGCAGAGGAAATAGAAGTGGGAGCTAGCATCTCTCGGGACAGGTAGTTATTGGGCACAGAGACTGCGTGTGTTCTGTTGGGTCTGAGCAAGCTTGTCTCTGCTGTTCCTTCTTGCCCAGGGTCGTAAGCCCACCAGGAAGGAGAGGGTGTGTGACCTGTGCTGGCACCGCTATCTTGTCACAGCTGTGTGACCCAGAGGTGTTTGGGGGCTGCTGGAGCCCAGGGCACAGAAACCTGACGCTGGCAGCACAGAGCTTTCAGGGTCACCTCCCATGCTTGGTACAAGGTGTCTCCTCCCATCGTCCACTCCCCAGTTACGATAGGGTGCCTCCGAAGATAGTGGATTCCTGCCTGTGTCCTCAGTTTCCCACAACACCACTGGGGCTGCACTTGCCACATCAGCTCCAATGTTTTCCCTTTTGCTTCCCTCTAGGCTGCCAAACTGGCCTCTGTGCTGAAGAAGGTCCTAGAAATCACAAAGTGAGTATGGCCTGTGGGACTTTAAGAGCTCGTTCGAGGGGGGGCATTTTCCCTACCCAGAGCTGCCCTCTGTCTGGACACTATGGAGGAGCGCTGCCAGAGGTGACTCAGCCTGGGCTCCCCAGAGGCTTGTGGAGAGCAAACGTGTACCTTTGGGGTTCCCCTCTTGGCAGCAAAGGGCCTGACAGTTGTGGGGAGGGGTGATATGGGAGCTCCATTGAGTGGAGGGCCAGAAGGGGCCATTGTGATCATCTAGTCAAGTTGATCGCCAGCTGATCAAGAACGATAACTGGTCGATCCTGAGGAGTGTCTGTCGATCACTCTGCACTCAGAGGGCTTCCTACTTGCTCTGGCCCCACCTGTCGGCCCTGTTCTTGGGAGCGGCCAGTGTGGCCCCTCTTCCCCCTGTGTGCGTGTATGTGGAGTGGGGGAACAGGAGTCTTGGTGTGCTGCTCCTGCCTGCAAGCATCACCTCCCACAACTGCCATTGGCTGGCAGCAGGGAACTGTGGCCAATGGGAGCTGACAGGGAGGTTCCCGAGAGGGGCCGCACACAGCCATGTGCACCCAGGGCAACAGGTGCGTCGGCCCCTTCTGGGAGTGGTGTGGGGCTGGGGCAGGCAGGGAGCCTGCTTCAGCCTCGATGCACCACTGACCTGGACCTATCCATGGAAGTGCCACCACGTGAGAGACCACTCCCCTGTCCCCTCTTGGAGCCAGCACCCCATATCCCCTCCTCAGCCCCAGCCCTGGCCCCACCTTCCAGAGCCAGCACCCCCCTAGCCTTGAGCTCCATCCCAGAACCACCACCTCGCACCCCCTCCTGTGTCCCAGCCCTCACTCCCTCCTAGAGACAGCACCTCCTGTCCCAACCCTGACTGCCTCTTGGAGCCAGCGCACGAACCCCTGCTGTGCACCCTCAGCTCCCTCCTGTGTCTCAGGTACCTGCCCCAGCCCTGACCCCCTCCTAGAGACAGCACCCCCCATATCCCCTCTTACTCCTCAGGCCCCGGTCCTGACCCCCTTCCCAGAGCCGGCACTCATCATCCCTTTGACACCTCAACCCCCTGTCCCAGCGCCCAGATTCCTTCCTGCACCCTGCACACACTCCCTCCCTCTTCCCAAACCCTGGGAAAATGAGTGTATGTTGGGGATGGCACCTGGGGATTGGGGGAATGGAGTGAGCAGGGTGGGGTTTTGGGCTAGGGACGGGGGCTGGGGGTAGAAACATGAGGATCTTATGCAAAAGGGGTCTTTTTGGAACAAAAAGGACCCGTCAACCCTGCTTGTTTTTGCGCAAAAAGCATTGGCAGACAATATGCAAATGCCAGTGCGACATGCTAATGAGCGCTTTGTTAGCGTCCGCTCTGCCGGAGACCTAGCCTGAGTGAGGCGTGGACGTGGGTGAGGGCAGAGAAGATTGTCTCCCCTACACTCTCCCCACACCGCACATGCAGACCAGCACAGAACAAAGAATGTTCCCTGGCAGACTGGTGAGGCAAAGGATGGGTGTGCATGTCGCTGTTGTCCCACCAGTCCTTGGTGAGGGTGGGCAGGGAGTGTACACAGCTCCCTCCCAGACAAGGGCACTGGGAGGCTGCCGAGACCTTGCCTTTGTAACCCTGTGGTAGTCTAGCAATTCATGACCTGAACCTGTGGAGATTGGCACACTGTTGTCTGGAGGTGCCTAGTTTTACAGCACTGCAAAGTTGTTCTAATGTCTCCCCCCTTTCTACAGGGCAAGCCACGTGTGCCCCCTATCGGAGGAAGGCTGGGTTCAGTTTCTCACTGATGCAGTAGATCACAACATGGACAAAATTAAGGACTTCACACAGAGTGAACTTTAATGCTTCTGTGCCCCCATGTGGTGCGGCAGGGTCTCGGTGCGTATGGTCGTTTCCTGACCACAGGGAAAGTGATGGTGTTGGCATTCGAGGGAGGAGCTTTTCCAGCCTGGAAGAACTTTGCCAATTCCAAGTTTGACTTGCATGTCGTCTTTGGCAGTTGCAGCACTGTGTTTCCTGGGACAATGAGAAGTTGCATCTTGATATTGCGAACATGCCTTGCCACCTCTGGCTTGGCTCTAGGGTGCCTTACTGGGCAGAAAGAGCAATAAAATGACACTGGGTTCGTGTCATGGCTTTGTTCTGCGGAAGGGGGAGGGTTTTGCTACCTTCATGGACCCATGGAGAGTACAGTTTCTCCTGCCAGCCTGAGAATGTAGGGTGTGGTGCCCTCGCTTCCCTTGGAATCATGGGAAAGGAATAGGGGAACTTGCTCCCTTCCAGTGTGGGTACAGGGAAAGGGTTCCCTGGCCCTGTGGGCATAGCGCTGCGCTTGGGAGAAGCATCATCTGCCTCTTAAAATCCCAGGCTGATGGTCTCTCTTCTTGATAGCTGAGGCTCCCTGATACCAGAGGGGTGGGCATGGCATAAAGGTACAGTGAGAAATCAGTGCTTAGCTGGGATGGTTTTGCCTTCCTCAGAAGCAGCTGGTTCAGCTTACTGGACTTGGGGAATGTTGGGCTAGATCTGTGTTGGGCTGAGAACAAGAGACAACATTTAACAGGGCTTAAATGGGAATGTTGTTGACTCCTGTGTAGCTCCACCTTCCAGCATAAACTCCCCTCCCTGCAGAGAACCCACCTCAGGCCAGGGCAGAGACTGGGGTCGGAGGCAGGACAGGAGCGTCTGCGTTACACTAGGATCTAGCAGCCACAGTGTTGAAGCTCCTGTAGCCCTTCAGAGTCTGGCTGCAGTTGGATGCATGGTGAGTTTTCTGGACCCAGCCTGGGTAGCGTGCAAGGCGAGGTAAATGCAGCAAGAGCCTACAGAGCCTATATACAGAGCCTACTGCTAGGCAAGAGGAGGAGATAATCTAGGCAAGCAGCTGTTTGATTTGTTCTTCGTTCTTAGGGACTGGAGGCCATTAGACAGGCACCAGTATGGAGTAAGAGGAGGAATTGTGATCCCGTAGCACTGGGGAAGGGCCTGGGATCTCTAAGCGGGGGGGAGGCAAAGTCAAAGGGAATGAAAAGTCAGCTGAGGTACCTGTAACCTGTTCTCTGCCCTGTGCATCCACCATTCATGGGTGGGGATTATTTGCCATGCCAGCAATAGACATTTAGTAAACTGCGCCTCCTCCTCTGGGAGGCTCCTGAGCTCTTCAGGACAGCCTGGGGTGTGTGAAGACTCTTCCAAGAGCAGATCCACCCAATAAAGACACGGACACTTAAGAAGAGCTCAGTCATCTTTTGGTGCCTGGCCCTGTATCCTCCTTGGGATGAAACTGCTTACAGGAACTTTCAGGGGCCTCTGAAGAGCTGCTAAGATCTGGCGGCCAGGCTCAGAGGACTGCCACTGGCTGAGCAAAACCTGTTGTGTCTCGTACAGGACGGTCTGTAGCAATACTCTGTGAAAGGCGGCACTGTCTGGGACAGCTGCCACATGGGGGAAAGCCCCCTTCATGCCTGGGCATGGGAGCTTTCTGCAGACTCAGAAGTAGGCTTTTCTCTTACCCAGCAGAGAAGCGGGGATTTGCTGTATTGCTGAGGATTGGTGACACTCCACACGGCTGCCTCGGAGTGATCGCTCGAAATGTCCCTGTCAGCGTCACAAGCCTTGGCTGAACAAACAGCTGGAACCTGCTCCCTTTCCCATGCTGAATAACAGCTCCTCTCAGTTCCTCAGTGAGAACAGCTGAATGTAGTAGTTGTTTCCTCAGTGTTGGATTTATGTGCATCTCTCTCATCTTCACATCCATGGTGACACTCGGAGGACTGGAAGAGACCTCGAGAAGTCATCTAGTTCAGTCCTCTATGCTTATTGCAGAACTAAGAATGATCTGGACCAGGGTGGGCACGCTAAGGCCTGTGGGCCTCATTCGGCTCATCAGGGCTTTTAATTAGGCCTTCAGGATTACCAGTCTGGCAGCGCAGTGGGGCTAAGCAGGCTCCCTGTCTGCCATGGCCCTGGCTGCTCCCTGAAGCCACTGGGCAGGGGAGGGGGGCAGAGGGAAGGCCCTGGGCAGAGAATGGGGAACTGCAGCCAGTGGATGCTGTGGGGCAGTGCATGCAGGTGAGGGCAGTGCCACTTCCCGGAGCAGCACATGGGCAAGGGAAGGGGGTGGTACCTGCCTTAGATCTGTTGTAATGTTGGCCAGGAGCCTGCACAATGAACCCCTTCCTCATCCCAACGCACCTGCTCTGAGCCCCTCCTGCGCTGCAACCCTCTGCCCCATCCCTACATTCATGGCCTGACAGGAAGTTGTCTGTCATGCTCTTTAAAACCTCTGGTAGGGATTCCATATGCTCCCTAGGCAATTGAACTGCCTTGACAGTTACCAAGCTGTTTCTAACGTCCAACTTAGCTGCAATTTAACCCCATTACTTCTTATCTTAACTCTAACCCTAATTTTGCTTTCTTCTCCTTTTATGTACTTGAAAGCTGCTATGTCCTCTCTGTCTTCTCTTTTCCAGGCTAACCAAACCCAATTCTTTCAATAGATCATGTTTTCTAGAGACGCTCGAGAGGTGAGTAATAAAAATGTTGCTCTTCTCTGGACCTTCTCTGATTTTTTTCCTCATCTTTCCTGAAATGTGCCCAGAACTGGATACAATACTACCTCTGAGTCTTAGTTAGTGCAGAGTAAAGTGGAAAAATTATTTCTCATGTCTGTCTATGCTTGGAGTTTAGGTGGAACTAAATCGTGTTAGGATGAATTTCTGAACAATGAGTTCACACCACCAAGCCCATTCTGTAGACTTTAAGGGCTGTGAAAATCTATTTTGGTACTCCTGCTTTTCACAAAGTGTAGTGCTAAATTCGACCTTGCATGGGCGACTTCATGGCAGTGCAGATGCAGTGCTGTGAAAGTTGCCTCCAGGAGGTGTCCCCCAGTGCCCTGTGATGACTGGTCTGGCCACAACTTTTAACTCTCCTGCTCTCCAGGTGAACAGAAAAAGCCCTGGGAAAATCTGAATCTCATTTCCTGTGTGGCCAGCATGGCGAGCAGACCTCGAACCATGCAACACACCTGAGCAGCCCAT